TTTCATGAAAACTTCTCGCTATAACTATTTCAAACATTACGTAATTTTTCCCTTGTAATATGATTTTTAATCATACCTGAACTGTCGTTCAAAAATACTTCATGGAACGTTTTTAGATCAATGGTGGATCGTTGTTAGCAGTAGAATTCAGGATGAGCATTTCGTCCTATTTGGGACTCTTCAGCTGGATGTACCTGCTTCCCAGTGAGTGATGTTCCCGTCGGGGTTCGGACTCGGGAGTGATCGCTTCAAACGCCAGGTACATCCAGCTGACGAGTCCCAAATAGGACGAAATGTGCATCCTGGATTCCACTGCTAGCCTCGATCCATCATTAATACAATTAGAACGCAGGCAGTATCGAGGCATCCGCACAGGAGCCCATATGCCAATAGAGACCGATCAATTCGGTCCAAGCAACGACGGTTTTAGATCAGTTAGTAGAGTATTTGACCAGGAACCCAATGGGCGCTTGTTCGAATCTTATCACTACCGTCAATCTTCACTCTGTATTATAAATACCACGTCTGCAGACATTACCACCCAGCCTGGTTGCTGAAGAGTGGACACAAAACCATCTACAGTGCTTTCGTTGAACACCTCATATCCTTTGGACATCTGGTTCTTTTACAGACTTCGTTCAAAGTTCTCTACAAAGTTGGACCAAAACATCCAAAAGGCTTGAAGATTAGACATTTATGTACAGCCAAAAAATTGGCAATTCACAGCTACAAACCTCAAGTGTATATTTAAAAGAAACATGTACAAACATTCTCTTTACTGCATCCTTAATCAGATATTCTGCATCTCCATTTATGCTTTATTTTTGTATAGAATTTATTGATATGTTTATGTGTTTATTTATTTTGCACACTTTTTATCGGATCTTAGAACTAACTGTTCAATGCATTCTATAAAAATCATTGAGATCATGTCTTGTGTTACGTAATATAGGTTCATTTCTTCTGTACATCTATCGATGAAGTTTGACGTTTGATTAGAAACTTGTCTGGAATAATCAAAATGAGTCGTTGAAAAGATGATTATTCTCTCCGTAACCTTTCTTTGTTTTTCAATAAATACAACTTTTAAAAAAATAACCAAAATTGTCGCATATAATCTCGTGCATTCCCAATGATTAAAAATTGAAACGGTCAGTGAGTGAAACAGCTTAGTGTTGTAGAGTGATAGAGTACCTAATGTGTGACCTCAAGGCATCTGTTTGGAATCCAACTGCTATACAGGCTTTATTTCTACATTCAGTTATCAGATAGTGTCATCGGATGAATTAGGTTAATTTATTTCTTATGTGATGACTCAGTTTTACCATATGTTACTTATATAGAACTCAAAAAAAACCCTTTTCGCTCGGGACCATGATATCACACATTATCAACAAGTGATCAGTAGAGATGCATATTAGCGTCTATTTATTAGGTAGATACAGTTGCGCTGTTATTGTTTTTGAGGCGAATCACAAAGATTTTAGTTGTTCCTTAGAAAGTGTCCAACACCGTAATACGATTGGAGAGAAACCTAAATAACTAAAACTTGATTGCATACATTGATTCATTGTCTAAGATATTTTGGAAATGGAAACAATGAACTCCTTAACTGTAAACTCAACCTAAGATTTTCTTGTAAGCTATTTCGATGCTTGAACTTTTCTCATAACACTGGGTAATTAGTTTCACATCCATCTTCCCTCCTTCGTAACTATGTCAAGGAACAGGGATCAGTGAAGTCACGGTTCTAATCATACCAGGGAGGTGGCAACCTGTGTTGCGCTTCATAGACAACTAATATTGTTTCAATTATTATCATTATTTTTCGTCGCTTGTGTTCCTAGTGGAATATAGGGCTTCAGTAACACGTCACCATTTCACTCTCTTCTCTACACAGTCTTTTCAACCTGGCTCAACGACTGTCCATAAGCTTTCATTTCTTCATCACACCATCTCCTCCATGTTACCCTCACCTCAGATGCCCAAGTCTTAATTTCTCTCCTGGTCTCCATTTGAGTGCTTGGTGTGCAGCATCATGTCCCCAAATGGTTTTCTCAGTGTATCTTCAATGCAATCCATCTCCACCTATTTCTTCTACATATTTGTTGGGCAATAGGTTCTTGATTGATTCGTTGTCAGTCAGAGTGAGTTCCTTGTTCCTTATTCTTATTAATCCCACCATCTGTTCTCATCTTCAGTATGGAGTGAATGTATACACCAGCTGTTGATGAATGTGTGTAGTTTATTGGCAATGCTTTTCGTAATGCGCCAAGTCTCCCAACTGTCATTTACAATCATTAACTTGACCGACCGACCGACCAACATTAGTGTTGAAAATCCAAATCTTGTTCACGATTTATGCTGAGTGCAGTAGATCTACACATTGATTTCAGATTAATGAAGGCTGGCCTGTCTTACTGTCTTTCCCATACTGTCTTTGACGTCCTCATCTGTACCTGTGTCGCCTGTTGTTGAAACGATGCTGCCTAGGTAGGTGAACGAGACAACTTTCTTTACATTTCTCCCATTGATGGTGATTAGAGTTTGTTATTGTTGTTGTTGTTGGTGGTGGTGATTGTGTATCTTGATCACCTCTATCCTGTCTACATTCACTTGAAGTCCTATCCTCTCTGCCCTACCTCTTCTGTCAACTTGTTAGTTTTCGTCTGTAGATATTCCAGTTTGTGCTACAAGACATTAGACATGAATCATCATTGTTGGCGAAATCCAAATCTTTATGGACTTTATCTTTTCATTAGTAAAATAGCGTATGCCTAGCTGCTCACAGCTCCTCACAGTTGTCTCTTGCATTATCCAGTCCAGTCGACCACAATCAGGAAGATCATTGGTGTATCAATGGGACAGATTATTTAGAAAATGGTTTACAGATGACAAATCCGAGACACCTCTAAAAATTTATGCAATCTAAGTTTCAGACTATAGTTATTGTCAACCGCTCTATATTTTGAAGATAATGCAAAGTATCACACGCCGATATCGTTGAATAATACTTCAGATTTTAAGGGAAATTCCCTTGAAAAACATACACAGTTTTTGGTACCTAAATCGACCTTAAAGTTACTCAGCTCTGTTGGTTAATGATGCCCATGTTACACTTGACAACATTTAAACTTTCCTTAAAGATGATTCCAGTGGTTTTATAAATTATATTAATAACTCCGAGTAGAATTTCAAAAGAATGTCTCTTTTTTACACTACTGGTTAATAAAAAGTAGCCGATTTCATACTGTCTAGTTCTGAGTACTGACTGGTTTACATTGTTCATTTTGTATATGGCCACCAAGCTAGCAGACTCATCATCGCTGTGCACTTTGATAAGTGTTATTTAGTCGGAGACGATCTGCTGGAAACTCTGTTTGGTCTAAGTTTTTTGCTTGTTGGCACTTATCAACAAGGCGTATCTGTAACCTCAGGTGGAGTGATATTCACTCTGAAATTCTAACACGCGTCATCTAGTGCTGGAGCCAGTGACGTTACTGCTAAGCTTTTCGACTGTGATTTACCTCTCGTAGGAATGGATTATATGCAATGATTTAGTCAGCACTTGGAACTACTCAATATGAAGTTGGTCCATCTCCAGTGACTAATTAAAGTATCGTATCCAGTTATATATGTAATTCGTCGTGACCTAAATTGCTCAGTTGTAACACTTCTGACTGCAACACAGGGTGATGCGGGTTCAAATCTCTCAGGGGACATTAGAACACCTGTGTTTACAGATATGCTTTTCTCATGAGTGCTACCAAGGATGAAACTTAGGTGGATGGCTTCTTGATGATTACCTTCAATCAACTAATACTCCCCTATATCTCATCAGTTTTGAATGGGGATAAAACAAGCTCAGGTTGGTCGTAAGCGGTGAATAATTCACCAAGGTTACAGTACCAATAACCAGTGAATACCACCACGTCAGGTTTGTCTAGCTTTTAATTTGTTACCGTTTAGCACAGTGTTCAAGAAATTTCGTGAGTGACTGTAATGAGTACTACAGAAAAACAATGAAACAATCAATTAGACTTCTATATTTCATGAAAATCCGCCTTCCTGGACAAAATGAAGGGATATAATTGGTTATTTAAGTTGTAGCTAGGGTGGCTTTTAAATTCACTTGTTTAAAAGCTTTCGGATAGCTCACCAAGTTTTGTTAGTAGGATAAACATACCTTATCTTGTCCAAGAAATAACTGATACTTATATAGGCGGAAAAAAGCTTGTCAAAATCAAAGGTAGAGGCTCATTATTTGTTTGATTATAGGCCAAAACAATCAGAAATAGTTCAAAATCAATTAAGTATTATTACGTTTTAAACAGGCATGTTGACTGATGTTCATATTCTCTTGCTTTGTTTTAGATCTCTATTTTCTGTGTACTTCCATAATGTCTTGATTTTGTTGGATTCTTGCAAAATGTTTATTCATATTTTTCGAAGACTTCGGTAATAAGTATATGAGTTGGAATTCGTATTCGTGATAACCTCATTATGTTAAAGATCAATGTTTATCAGGGATACGTATGAATAATAACTTAGAGTGTAAATTGTATATTTTATATAACCAAGGATATCTTCATTAAGTTGAACTGGAATCAAGATTGCGGTGTTTTAATATGAACAGTGATAAGCGTGTACAACTGTAGACGAAGGACTTGATTCTCAACTTGATTGAGTTCAAATCTGGTCTCATTTTTACTTTGACTTAGATATATATTCATTATTTCCGTACTTCATACAACTCATATTGATTACAGTCATAAATATGGAATTTTATGAGGTTAATAGACATTTGTTATGTTGAACTTGTAAAGATCAACAGGTGATCATCTATGCCTAAATTGTTATTCAAACTGCCGTAAATTCATCCAAAACTAGTACATCATCCTAACAAGTTTGAATTGTTTTGATTTTCAGTGTATAATTATCAATCTGTTTTAATTTAAAGTTTTACAGTGCTAAAATGTTTGTTATATTTATCTTTATAGGTGCATCGAGTGACAGTTTCTACTTTATTGTCAATCCAAATGATCAAGATGTCGAAGAAGGGCAACCGTTACGATTAAGATGTGCTGTAACACCATCAAAGGATATTTATTATTCATGGTTACATAATGGAACACGTTTACAATTAGAGAAAGAAGGCGGTCGACGTTACCTTGAAGTCGATAGTAATCTACAAATTCTACATGCAGATCGAGAACTAGACCCCGGCACATATCAATGTCAAGCACTTAATCGTCTTCAACATTTACAACAGCCAGCAGAGAGGCAAAAGTGAACATTTATTGTAAGTAGTGCTATATTCGGTTAGAAGCTAAACGAGGTGATGAAATCGTTTTTTTGTGAGACACGATTGTATGTATTGTAGGGCAAATGGATTTAGCGAAGCTACTAGAGATTATTATTTTTTTCCCTTGTGTTCCTAGTGGAATATAAGGCTTCAGTAGCACGTCACCATTCCACTCTCTTCTCTACACAGTCTTTTCAACCTGGCGCCATGACTGCTCACAAGCTTTCATTTCTTCCTCATATGATCTCCATGTCACCCTCGCCTCGGACGCCCAACTCGTCGTTTCCCATTTGGATTCCATTCTAGGACCTGGCGCACGACGTCCTCAGTCGGCCTTCTCAGTGTATGCCCAATCCATCTACACTTCTGCATATTTGTTGGGTGAAAGGTTCTTGGTTGGTTTGTTGGTCCCCAGAGTTCCTTGTTGCTTATTCTTATTATTCTGGCCATCTGATCTTCAGTATCGAGGCAGCGTAGGGAGCTGTTGATGAATATCTGTAGTTTGTTGGAAATGCTTTTCGTTACACGCCAAGTTTCTGAACCATATAGAGACACTGACTGACTTGACTGAATTGGTGTTGAAAAACCAGACCTTTTCCAGACTGTCTTGCTTTTCTAATCGTGATTTTGACATCCTCGTCTGTGCCGCCGCCAGTAGGTGAAACGATGCTACCTAGGTAGGTGAACGAGACAACTTTCTTTACATTTCTCCGTTGATGGTGATTGATACTTGTTGTTGTTGGTTGGGTATCTTCATCATCTCTGTCCTCTCTACATTCACTTGAAGTCCCGTCCTCGCTGCTCTTCTTCTTCTGTCAACTTGTTAGTTTTCTTCTATAGATCTTCGTGTTTGTGCGACATTAAACATAAATCATCAGCGAAATACTAGAGAATATAAAGTAACGATAATACTACCTTCCCAAATAGTTGAACCCTACTTTTCAACTTTTAGAGGTTTTTAAGTGTCTATTCATTTACTCACTGAGGAACTTTGTTGATTATGAACAGATTTATTGGTCTGTGAGGTTATATTCACTAAATGTTGCATGTTTTATAGTTTAGGTGGAATATGTCGAAAGCTTATAGGCTGATGTTGCTCATACGTAAGGCTTATTCCAAAAGATTGACTATATTACAACTGTGTACTTGTTGTAATGAAACAAGTTGTTATGAATACTTGCAACTTAAGCGATTCAGTATGCATATTATTAACTTTTTGCTTAAATAATAGATAAGGAATGTGTTTTTATGAAGATGATAGTATGATTAATTGATGAATATAGACTGACAGGAAACCTTAATCAGTAATATGTTGACATTGACTTGTAAAAAAACTTGAACTGATCGAATATTCTGATCAATTGATTTTGCAGACGCAACAAGAGCTGAAAGAAAACTTTTATAACGGTAGATAAAGCTGGAAAATAAAATTTACGAGTCAATAGATTACAAGTTTTCTGTTTCACTGTATTATTAAAATGATGATTGGAGTTGATTGAAATCAGTCGATAAACAACAAAGCTAAAACGAGCAATTCATTCTTGACTCATTGCATTCCTGTTAATGCTAATCTAGTGTAAACTTATCTGCTATAAGATATTGTCACATCAGTTGATTCTTAGACGATTTCTACAAATGTTAATGATAGGCAGTGGCTAGCAGTGGAATCCAGGATGTGCATTCCATACTATTTGGGACTCATCAGCTGGATGTACCTGCTTCCCAGTGAGTGACTCGGACTCGGGAGCGATCGCTTCAAACGCCAGTGCGTTTTCCACTACACCACTGAGCCACGACAACCACTTCTTATGCGACGGTTATAGCTCTTAGTATAAGGGTTTTTTTTAATATGATAACGTCGTTGATTGGACTGAATTGATCAGTCTCTGTAAGCATATTTTCTACAAATGGTCATGCATACTAACTTAGTTACTTTTAAAATTTTTTTTGAAGGGATGGATCCAGATGTTCACGTATCTTTAGTCAAACCATCACGTTACGAAGATATTCGTCTTGGTGAAGAGGTGGAGTTTACCTGCAATGTGAGAGCAAATCCACCTCTAAGTCCAGCAAATATAAAATGGTTCCACAATGGAAATGCGTAAGTTTTGAGTAAATTTATACGAATTATTTCCCATTCTTCATTATCCTTCATCAGGTACTCTCTTTTTGTTCATCGTAACTTCTTAACAAACTACCGATAATTTTCATTAACAAGAACAAGGCATGTATCAGTGAAGAAGAAGCATTTCTTTTCAACGACTTCATTACCAAGCTGTACAGTAGTCGTATTTATACTCAGTAAAGTGACAGATAGTTGCACTAAAAAGAGACTTGTTCAGTCAATATGCAAAATATACAATCGGTGGAGGTGGTGGTATTTGTTCAAGTGGAAGAGCGGACCCTCCGAAAACGTGTTGCTGAACACTACCCGATTCGGCTTACCAGAGGTGAGCAAAAGAAAACGACTTCATCCATATGTGAACACCTTGTTGAATTGGGTCACTCTCAACACCTCGAGATTCATCCTTTAAAATAATTTACAAAGTTAAAATTGAAGTACTCCAAACGTTTACATTTCCACCATTTATGTATAGCTGAAGCATTAACTATACATGAACAAAAACCGAAACGTTTTGTGGAACCACACTTTCTATACCTTAGCCTTAACAATTCATTTTGTTGCTTTTGTCAATTTTCAGTTCACTTTGGTATACTTCTCTTCTATTATCACCATTATCACCGTTTTACAATACTTTGACAGCACTTGTCGCTTATCTTACCACTTGTTATCAATGACGCATTTTCTATCTTTTCCACTTGAACAAATACCACCACCTCCACCGATTGTATATTTTGCATATTGGCTGAACAAGTCTCTTTTTAGTGCAACTATCTGTCACTTTACTGAGTATAAATACGACTACTGTACAGCTTGGTAATGAAGTCGTTGAAAAGAAATGCTTCTTCTTCACTGATACATGCCTTATTCTTGTTAATGAAAAAATGGGTATATTTCGTTAATTTTCACTTAGGCTAGAGAACTGCATCGAAGAATGTTGCCTAACTGGGGTTAGTTGAAAATAAAAAAGATCACACATAATAATCGTCTATAACAGATATAATTATTGTAATAAAGCTAATTATGAATAATCTGCTCATAATTGTTTCATGTGTATCACTTTAATAATATATACAGTCAGAAGCAAGTGAATGAATTCATGCTTAAATAAGCCAAGTTATTTCATCTATTCAAGAAATCCCAGTATGAATGTTGAAAAGTATCAAAGTTGACGTTCAAATGGTTCCTGTATTGAAATCCTTAACTCATGATAATTAATCATTGCAATGCATTCTGTGACTAAGTGAAGTTTGAGGAAATGTTTGCTCTTAAGGATGTTTTCATTGGTTACTGGCTTTAGCTGATGAATCATTCAAAACACTGAGGCACTAGACAGGTATTTTGACCGCCTTTAGTACTGGTCTTTGGTGCACTAGATGTATGGTGGAAAGTTGGAACTTACCAACCAGTTGTTTTCTGATAAAAATAAAAGTTGGGTTTATTTATACTTGTAATTCCCCTGTGTTATCCTGAATTTTATTGCTAAATATAACCAAGTAAAACAAAAGCATGATGAATAATCAGTTGACGTCGAAGCATTCCTCCAACAGGCCCATATGCTAACGGAGATCGAGTATAATGCTCCAATATAACGACAGGGAAGTAAGTAATAACTGGTGGCTTTCGTGCCCCAGTGGCCTAGTAGATAAGACTTTGATACTGGAGGCGATGGACGAGGGGTTCAAGTGTCAATAGGAACAACATTACTCATTTGGGTGTAGGGCCTTGCAACTGAGAACTCCCAGGTAGAATAAAACACATGTCCTAAATTCCACTGCTGTGCACCACCAAGTAAAATTAAAAGCAGAACACTTACATACCCTTTCTTAATCTTTTCACACTTTTCTTCTTCTGAATGTTAATTATCATCATTTCACGACTGAATTTTTTGGTTGAAGTAAATTTCAGTCTCAGACAGAACCTTGCGGTTGTAGTTCGTTGGCTTAGGGAGATGACCATCAACAGATAGGGCGCTGGTTCGTAGTCCACTCCACCTACCAAGGTTTGGACAACCAGGTAATATCACTAGGCAGCACACAATGAGTGAGTTTCATTACCTACTGCACGAATATGCACAAGATAGCTATGTGTGTGTGTCTCTGATTTGCTCATTCAATCTCACAAAATAGGCAATCTTGAGGTATATACTGTGTAAAACCATGTTCCTTAGAATCATGAACTCGTGGTCTGTGCTAATTTTGGTTGCCTCCTAAACTGTTTTATTTCCCCATATATCATTGTTGCTGATTATATCCAGTCACCAATTCAAAATTCATACCGGTTTTTTGCTTTAAGTGTTCCAAGTTCAATAACGATGAACTTGAAGCAAGTACCTCATAGCGAATATAACTTCTCATTATCCAACGATACTTGTATGTATTTTTTCACTAGATGAAACTTTGATTTCACGAATTCAGAAGGTTCAGGTAGCAACTAGTACACATCAAAGTGCGCCGCAATGGTGAACTTTTTAGCTTGGAGGCCGCATTACAAAATGATCGATAGGATTCAGCCAACACTCATAAAATGGTTTGCTCTTCGGTGACCGATCAATCAATCCACTAGTTCATATATTTTGATAAAAGGTTATTTCATAAGGTTCTTATAATGTTAGGAACTATAAACTTCCCTCTTTCTCTTCGATAAGCAATGTCTTTAACCGTCTAGTGGTAACAATAAGTTGACTAAAATTTTTGTCAAAAATACTTCAGTAGTATAGTGAATATGATTTGTGGTATATTGTTTATCGTGGTCTTTAACTATTTCAATGTATCGGTACTTAAATCGGTAAAAAAGATCGATGTTTCGGTGTTTTGGCTTTGTCAACTGAAAGCTTGGTTAAGAAAAGTTAGTACATTGTCGGTTAAGTTCAACTGGTGAAAATTCTGAATATAGGTGTTCTTCATGAAGATGTCAGATTAGTCACAAATGCTTCTTTTAATCTACGGAACATTTACTTGATACGTGTTAATTAGCAGTAAATCAGAAGGAGATTTGCCATGCAGCCTTCATTTCTGCTCAGTACTATAAGTTAAGCATTCAATACTCCATTTCTAAGGCCTTCCTTCTTCCCATTTGATATTATTCAGATCAATTTCACTAAAGTCAAGTTATTATAATTAGTTTGTGAAAAGAAATATGATGGATTTTAAAATTCCTACTGCTGAACAACTTGAGTAGTCAGTAATCACTCAGGCAGATCAGTGTGTTTGTCAGCCAGGTCATCAGAGTCATCCAGGTACCGGATGGCTGTATCGCTCGTTCGTGGTCTAACCAACTCATCATCAGTATACCCGGACAAACACAGCTTAGAGAGATGAATGAGTTCAGATCATCTGAATCTGCATGGCTAGCGTGCTTGCGTTGACTAGCTTACCTGAAACAGGAATATCAATTTTCCAAATGATTTACAAATTGGATAGTCCATGATGACGTTTCTCACAGCCCAACTGTGATGGCAACAAGGTTTCCACTGGAAACCACTTATCGGCGAAGATCACATGGTGTTATCCCTGACACTTGCGAACTAGTGAACAACCTGAGTAGATAAAAATCACTCAGGGTGATCTGTGGACATTAAATTTGATAATGAAAATCATTGCTTTTAGTTATCTTGTAACGTTGGGTGTATTTCAATCCATTTGAAAACTGCGCTCATCTGATGACCTCTGCGCTTGATTAAGAAAACTAACTTCTACTGACTTTCTGATTAGTGCTTGTTTAACATAAACCATTGAAAAGTGAGTTTATTCTTCATCTTTGTTATAAAAGATTCGTTTTCATTGGCTATCTATAAAAATATTACTAATAGCCGTAAATTGGTAATAAACTGCTTTGTTAATGATGGATCGTGACTAGCAGTGAGATCCAGGATGCGCATTTCGTCCTATTCGGAACTCGTCAGCTGGATGTACCTGCTTCCTAGTGAGTGATGTTGTTCCCACCGGGATTCCATTACTAACCACAATCCATCATTAACATAATTAGAACTCTGGCAATATTGAAGCATCCGCACAGGAGCCCATATCCTAACAGAGACCGATCGATTTGGTCCAAGCAACGACGGTATCATATAAAAACAATTATACTAATAAACTGCTTTCCATAGACTAAATGTCACTGCTTTCATTTATCCTGTCCTCGCCTGCTGCGTTGTATTTGCACTAGTCTCCGCAAACATGCTGAACATATTCAGTGACATTTTGGCAATGATCATAATTAATAATCCCAGAGTTTATCTTTACTGTGAATAGGAAATAAAAGTAAACACCTAGTGTTTTCTTAAGTAATGAATTCATCTACTTTTACCTGTTTACTTAACCCATTGAATGCCTGGGATAGTAATAATGATAATAATAGTAATAATAATAACAATCAGAAGCATATGCACAGTTCGGGAAATTAATTTTATCTATAATATAAGAGTAAAACTTGGGTACTGTGGTCCATCGTAATTCCATTTTAGCCTGTTTATTAGAGATATCACAAAATGAAACAGTAGCATTTACTGGATAACGTTTCGGACACAATTTATTGTCCATATTCATATCAGCAGGTAACTCCACACACCTTCGAGACAGTCTTTACATATTCCTAATCTTCTCTCATTCTCTGTGATGACAAGGGTAGTAGAATTTTCCATATATCTGGAACAGGTGCAGACTCATTTCGATTGCATGTGTTTGGTTAAGAGAGAGTTCAAAACCTCTGCTGTGTTACCATACAAGGAAGGCACTTCAGAAGCATTACGAAAAATTCTCAATAAGGCTGGCTGGGATTAAAGTGGCAGTCAAACCAACAAACTCACTAAGAAACAAGCTTTGAAGGTTAAAAGATACTATCGATGTAATTCAGCAAAATAATCTGGTTTACCAGATCCCTTGCAATAATTGCGAGGTCAAGTACATAGGTCAAAGCAGTTGGCTAGTCAGGGTCGATTAGAATAACACAGCACAAAAACTTAGCTAAATCAAAATTAG